CAAGGGTCTGGAGGAGGAGGGGAGAAAGAGGAATGGAGCTGAATTTTTCCATGATTGTTCATAAGCACATTTGTTGACAACAGCCAAAAACTGGAAACAACAGACAAATGGATAAACAAAATGTATAGTAGTCACAGCACAGACTATGACTTGTCCATCAAAAAGCAAACAAACAAGTGTCAACAAAGAGAAAATTCAAAAAGGTTGTGCTAAATCAAAAATGCCGTGCATTTTGCACAGTGGGACCACAATATATATAATCCCATTTACCTGAAATATCTAAAACAGATCGATATAAAAGCAGGCTGTGATTCCCAGGGGCTGGAGAGACGGAGGAAGGGGAAGATTTTGAGGAATGAGGTCTGTTGGAATTAGATGTGTGGCTACATTGTTCTGAGAATGTAGGAAATGTCTCTGAAACATTTCCTCTAAGACGGGCACCTCTGGGTCAGGTTCTCGCCTCGATGAGAGAAGAAACTCTGAGACATGGAACCATGGCTCTATCCCTGGTCCAACCAGTCCAGAATAAGGCGCCAGTGACCCTGGTGTTGTAGACCTGTTGTCCCAGTTCCTGGAGAGTCTGAGACAGGAGGCTCACAAGTTCTAGCTCTGCCTGGGCTGTAGAGTGAGTTCAAGGTCAGGTTGGACACCGTCTCGAAATAAACAGTAAACAGAATGCTGAGGTTCTTTTTAGCTCTATGGCAGAGTGCTCGTCTGGCATATGGATCTGACTTGATTCCCTAATTGCCAACTGTGTGGGAACCTCAAGACTTAGAACAACACTATGCTCTTCTTTTATGGGTGGGGAAATGAAGACTCCCCCAGGAGAATAAAAAGTGGCCTCTAGTTCCAGCTCTGGAAGCCATGCCAGTGTCTGCAGATCCCTTCTCCTGTATCGATAGTTGAAGGTACATTCTCGCTATGCAGCCCAGGTTGACTTTGAACTTAACCCTCCTGTCCTAGCCTCCAAAGTTCTGAGACTACAGGCATGTACCCCCAAATGCAAGCATGACATTTTTTAAAAAGAAAGCAGTTACCCACATACCACTGAGTCTACTGTTGAAAGCTTGGCAGGGTAGTTGCATGTGTTCCCGGAGCATCTTCAGGTCAAACAGCTATGAGAATAAAATACAGTGCTCTCCGTGACTTCAACTCTCAGCATCACGTCTCACACAGACTCTAAAGGGACATAAGAAAAAGGACAGAAGGAGGGCACTTGTGCAGGAGACTCACCTGGTTGGGAGAAAGATGAGAAGCAACATGGGGCAAAGACATGTCAAGATATATTCATATAAGGCTGTGTGGGGCAAGGAATAGTGGTGTTCACCTTTAATCCCAGCACTCAGGAGGCAGAGGCAGGTGGATCTCTGAGTTCAAGGAGAACCTTGTCTACATAGTAAATTCCAGGATAGCAGGGGCTATGTAGAGAGACCCTGTCTTGTGTGTGTGTGTGTGTGTGTGTGTGTGTGTGTGTGTTGCAGGTAGATGGTTCAGCAGGTAAAACCACTTGCTACCAAGCCTGAGTTTCACTCCAGACCAATACGGTGGAAGGGGACAACTGATTCCAATCGCTTCCTCTGACATTCACGTGGGCACCGTGACACACACACACACCATAAACAAATGCATTGATTAAAAAGTTAAAGTAGCCGTAAAAAAATATAAAACTTGTCACAACCATTTCGGGTTTTTTTTTTTTCCCTAAGAAAAAGGAAACACACACACAGAGACACACATGCACACAAAGAATGGATTTTATTACCCCATCTTGGTGAGGAAAATGTAAGCTGGACAGCCTTAAAATAGATGTTTGTTTTCCTCTGAAGTGAGCGGGTTTCGGGAAAGATGTTAAGGGAATAATCCCGCAGGTGGGGCAATCACGGATAAGGCAGCTCAGAAGAAACGTGACTACGTGAGGTTCTTGCCGGATGGCAGCTGGGACATTCAACAATCTTATGACAAGCAGGCGGCTCCCCCTCTCCTATCAAGGCTATTTAGGGGTCTAGCCTAAAACACACCAGACGCGGCTGGCAGAGGGACAGGTGGGGCCTTCTGAGGCCGGGTCTCTGGGGAACACGGAGGTTGCTGTGTCCAACACAACTGTGGATCCAAGGCTTTGTCTCAGGACTGCTGATTTCCCAGCACCCTCACAGAGTCCAACCCCCCAAAGCTCGGAGCCTGACTGCGAAGGACTCTGAAGAAGGGTGTAGCTGTGACCTCATACTGTCCACATTTAAACCATGTCCCCAAAACACTCCGTAATGGAAGCGCGGTGGCATACTCTTATGTTGGTGGAATTTGAGGCCGTGTGACAGGTGTCCGGGGAGAGACATTTCTGGGAGCCAAGGACCTGGCACCATCTTCCAAGCACACCCCTGAGGCAGCTGCCCAGGCCCTCATTTGGACAAGCATGCAGTTTTTATCTGAGTAAATAAATTTGGGGGCAGACAAGTTCAGCCCGACAGAGCTCGTTAAGAGCCCCCAAGATCTCCAAAAGTCCTACTGCCAGGCACTCTCCCCCAAGTTCAAAGCCCACTGCAACCGCCAGAGGACTGACTGAGACGCCCACTGCAACAGCCAGAGGAGTGACTGAGTCTGGAACCAGACAGCCGACGCTGGATCGGGTCTTCCTTCCCAGCTGTGTTGCTGAGGGCGTGCCTCGGAACCTCTCTGGGTTTCCCTCAAGGTCCTGATCCACCCTGACAGGTTTCTCTTTGACGCACAGTAGGTGATGCTTAACAGGCAGGAGAAGAAACTACTTTTTCAACTCTTTATTATGTTGGGCTTTTTTAAGGATTATAGATTCTTAGTTTATGTGTATGAGTGTTTTGCCTGCATATACATCTGTGCTCTAGTTGAGTACAGTGTCCAAAGAGGCCAAAGGAGGGTGTCAGATTCCCTGGAACTGAAGTCAGGGATGGCTGTGAGCCACCATGGGGGGGGGGGGGGGGGGTTGGGATTCGAATCCAGGTCCCCTGGAAGAAGGAGCAGTTTGAACTGTTCGGAGCTGAGCCATCTCTCCAGTCCCTTTTTCAGAGAAAGGGTCTCACATATCGAGGCTGGACAGGAACATGCTGTGTCCTGGCTCTGTGAGTCTCTTGCCACCACGTTCCATGTGCCGAGAAGACAGGCGTGAGGCCCCGCGCTCACTTTGATACAGTGCTGGGAACTGAATCCAGGCTTCAGATGTATGAGACGGGCACTCTAACATACAAACCCTCTCTCCAGCTGTTTGTCTGCTGTTTCTGCTGCTGGGGAATGAACCCTGGAGATGGTACATGCTGAGCCCCATCTCCAGCCGTAAGTCTTCTGAAAAAGAATCTGGGTATGTAGGCAAAGTTGGGGTCAGACTCACAATCCTCCTGAGAACAGGGATTTCAGGCAAGCATGAAACCCCCCACAAGGAATGTTTTAACACAGTGTGCTATCTTCTGTACACAGCCAACACAATCTATGTGCATGGATGGGAATGAGAAAACGGTATCGTGAACTGAAGGAGAAAACGGCATCTATCCAAATGCAGCTTTCTCCAAGGTTTCATTTTTATTATTTTTAATGCGTTTGTGGAGGGTTATGTTTATATGAGTGTAGGGGCCCAGGGATGCCATTAGAGGGCTCGGATCACCTACAGCTACAGTTATAGAGTTGGGAGCAACCTATGTGGATGCTGGGAACTGAACTTGGGTCCCTGTTCTGAACCGCGAGGCCCCTCTCCAGCCTCTCGAAACACACTTTCATCACATTATTGGACTAGCATTGGTATTAGTCATGTTGAAAATTGTTTCTCCTGTCCCACAAGCACCCCATATGAATATAAAAACAAAGATATGCGATTAACCTCTCTGTTGTTTCAATTACATGTTCTTACTCATGTATCTTTCAAATTCCTGCTTGCTAACTACATATTTCTTTGACTTCATGTAAAACTAATAACTTTGTCCATAATGTTAATAAAATTATGATCTTGAAAACCAACAAAAAAATTGTTTGTTTGCTTTTCGTTAGTGTCTCGTGTGGCCCAAGGCTGGTCTTGAGCTCACTTAAGGAGACCAAGAAAGGGAAATCATGAATTCAAGGCCAGCAGAGGCTACATTTTAGGATTCTGCCTTAAAATTTCAGAGTAATCAGGCTGGAGAGATGACTCAGTGGGCAAAGGCACCTGCCATCAAACAACCTAGGTTGAGTCCCCAGGACACACATCATAGGAAGAAAGAATGAACCCCTAGAGTTGTATTCTGACCTCCACATGCACGCCATAGTGCATGTGTGTGCACGCAGACACACACACACACACACACACACACACACACACAAATACATCACATAGGAGAATTAGCTCCGTGCCCTGATCATTTCTTCCCCACATGTGTCCCCATTCTGTCGCCACACAGAATGCAAACAATGTCTTCACACCTCCTCTGAAGGCAGTTTATAAAGAACCCAAGCAAGGAGAGAGGAGGAGGAAGACAAGGAGGACTTGACAGTTGGCTGTCACACAGCATGCCACCGATTAATCTGGTAGGTTTGTGTCCTCTTTGCTGGTCTCATTTCCTCTTTGGGACTCAACAGGAACACCGGGAGACTCTCAGAGTACCTGCCAAGCAAGCCTCTTCAGCTGACAAAACACATTAACGCCAGGGAGCAGGGGAACCCCACACACACACCACCCCCACCCCTACACACACTCACACAAGTAATCAAAGCTCTATTTTATTTGCAGCTGACCCTCCAGGGCCAGTGACTCTGCCCCCCTCCCTCTTCTCAGTCTCTCCCCCCCCCAGGGTTGGGTTGGGGTTGACATGTCATAACATCATGTCTGTTTATCTGAAATATTTCCACTCGCAACGCTTGTTTGTTCAAGCGACTGACATGTTGACATAGGACCTGACAGCTGAGTGAACTCCAACTGAAATAAAATACAAAGTAAACACATTTGCATAGAGTTTATACACAGCCTGCGTCTGCGGGAGGGGAGGAAATCCGTGGATTGGAATCGGGTGCTTAGTTCCCATCACCCCCCACCACCAGGGTCCCTCCTGAATGTTTACTGTTTTATTTTGCCGAGCTCTCCACTCTTGGAATGCCTCAGGAGTCAAAGGCTCGGCTCCTCTATGGGCTGCTAGCAACTGTAATCTACTTTCTGCTGCTTCTTTTCCCTTCTTCAGCTGGAACCACTTCATAGTCTGAGGAACTTTTAAGGACATCTGCGAGAACCTGAAACTCTAAAACAATTTTTTAAGAAGAAAAAAACCTGGCCCTGTAGCAGTGTTGCCATGTACACTGACTGACGATCTCGGTGCTGGGGAGACAGAGAGAGCAGGATCTCGGGTTTGAGTCCTGCCTGAGCTACATAGCAAGACTTTATCGCAAAGCACACAGAAAGGACCTGTGTGCTCTGTGACCCCCAAGGAAAAGGAAGAAGCTGGATTGAAATTAAGCTCTCTGGTTTCAGGCTACTCCCGCTTGGCTGGTGTCCTTTATCACGGTTTTGGTGGTTCTGATTGCTTTTGTTGGTCCTGATGCTAAGAGTGTGTCCCCAGGAATGCGGCACCAGACCTGGCAAGAAAATACTTGGAACGCCGAGATGGGTTACCTCACCCCGAGTTCTCGGTTCTTCTCTGCCCTGAGGAATGCCTCTGCATTCATCTCCAGCTTCTCTTCTTCTCTCCCTCCCTCCTTCCCTCCCTCCTCTCTCTTCTTCCCTTCCTCCCTCCCTTTCTCCTTCTCTCCCTCCCTCCCTCTCCTTCTTTCTCTCTTGCATGGTCTTTTTTTTCCTCTCTTCCTTTTTTTAAACCAGCATCCAATATAGCCCTAATTCACTATGCAACCTCAGAAGACTTTCAACTTTGTATTCCCTTGCCTCCACCTCTCAAGTGCTGGGGCTACAAATGCATCTCTCGGCAACCATCATTCTTCATCTCTATTTTCATAAAAGAACTGCAAAGACATTTCAGAAGGTACGGGGATAACCAGCACCCCACCCTACCCCCAATTCTACCCATGGCAGACATGGCTAATCAAGTGAAAAGTGTTTTCCCTAAGCCACAAAATCCTACCAACGCACCCATCTCATGATTGAGAATATCACACATTGATCAAGGTTTACTCTCAAGAAAGTACATGTCGGGGCTGGAGAAAAGACTCAGCCATTAAGAGCACCGGCTACAATTGCAGAGGACCTGGGTTCCATTCTCAGCACCCACATATGCAGCTCGCAACCATCTGTGACTCCAATCCTAGGGTCTCTGGCACCCTCTTCCAGCCTCCATGAGCATTACATACAAGCATGTGGTAAGTGCAGGGGGAAAAAAATCTATACACATAAATCAAAAGAAGAAAGAAAGAAAGAAAGAAAGAAAGAAAGAAAGAAAGAAAGAAAGAAAGGGAGGAGGAAGGGGGGAGAGAGAGGGAACGACAGGGAAGATAAAAGGAAAAAAGAAGAAAGCATGAATTTGCAACCCCTCATTATTACTAGTGGGACCTGGAGCAGGGGGACCCAAGCTTCCTGGCCAATGCTGCTGGTCCGTGAACCACACTTGGAGTAGCCAGGTATAAACTCCACAGAAGCATCTCCCATGCAAAAGCAGCTAATCTCTGGGATGCCCATCTGTACACTGGCTCTTCTTTTTTATCAAAACGGCCCAGGACCAACTGGGCCTGACCCATCTGTCAACCTCGTGGGCACAGTTCAAAGGCATCATTTCCATCCCATGTAAGCAAGAGAACATCCGAGCATTTGCCTAGGGAAACCCAAATGCCATGAAAGGGCCACAAAATAAACCCAGGCAAATTCATTTGCCTACAGTTGCCAGGCCTTTGCCAGGACCTACACTGCCCCTCCCAATGAGCCGGGCCACAGTTATATCTTGTCTATGGCTTTTGCTGCCAGTCTTGTTTGGTTGGTTGGTTGGTTTTGCTTTTTTTGTTTTCTAAGATAGGGTCTCTCTATATTGCCCTGGCTGTCCTGGAATTCGATATGAGACTAGGTTGCTTCTAAATCACAGAGATCCCTCTGCCTCTGCCTCTGCCTCTGCCTCTGCCTCTGCCTCTGCCTCTGCCTCTGCCTCTGCCTCTGCCTCTGCCTCTGCCTCTGCCTCTGCCTCTGCCTCTGCCTCTGCCTCTGCCTCTGCCTCTGCCTCTGCCTCTGCCTCTGCCTCTGCCTCCCAAGTCCTGGGATTAAAGGTGTGCACCAACATGACCGGGCATTCAATCATTTTGTTTGGTTTTGGTTTTTGAGACAGGATTCCTCTGTGTATCCCTAGCTGTCCCGGAACTCACTCTGTAGACCAGGCTGGCATCGAACTAAGATCCACCTGCTTCTGCCTCCTGAGTGCTGGCATTAAAGGTGTTCACCATGCCCAGACATTCTGTCATTTTTAACAGATCAGTGTGAAGAAGCTTGGAGAAGGAAGGTGACCCGAAGCCATACCACCTGTATGCGGCAGAGCTTCATGTCCAAACAGGGCTTCATCCATCCCCAGAAGCTGGGACTAGAGAGACACTCAGCAGGTAAGAGAGCTAGGTTCAGTTGCCAGCGTCCACATGGTGGCTCTCAGCTGTCTGGAACTGTAGTCACCAGGGATCAAATGCCCTCTGCTGGCCTTCTTGGGTGCTGCACACACGTGGTGCACATACATTCTTACAGGTAAACACTCATACACATAATATAAAAATAAACGAACACTAGTGGGGGAAAGATACTGACACTGGGTGCAAACAAGGTTCCCACTCCCCCCACCACCTCAGAGCCTGCTCCCACCTTCACTTCACACTGCAGCCTCTGAAGCTGCACGGCTATGCACCTCTACTGTGTTGCTTTTTTTCTTTTAAGTCTTATCCTATTTCATTTATTGGGTGTGAAGTAGAGGTGCGTGCGGCTCAGTGCATGTGGAGATCCAAGGACAACCTACAGGAGGCAGTCTTCTCATTCTGCTACGTGGGTCTCAGGGACAGAACTCATCAGGCTTGGTTGCCGGTGCCTTTATGGCTGAGCCATCTCACTCACTCCCAACATCTTTGTTATTTTTCAGACGCCCAGTCTGTGAGTTTTTGCTACAGTGGGCCTCGGTCCCACTAACCTCACTGAACCAGAGCCAGGGAGGTGGCGATATACACTGGGCTTCGGCACTCATGAGACTGAGGCTGATTGGTGTGTTGGAGGTCAGTCTGGACTTGACTGACATGGTGTCTCAAACGCAAGGGTGATAATAATAATGATTAGAGAAGAACAGAGGCATCAAATCCCAGGGTCCCCTCTCTTCAGCCAGCCCCCACTTTGCTTCCATCCAGTTTGCACGCTGGGTCTCTATATGTGGATCTGTTGGGGAGAGGCGTCCATAGTTATTAAACCTCTGTATTTTACCAGATGAGAACTGGAAACGGGTCTGAAGAGAAGACATGCAAGCTTTGCTTGGGTTTGGCCAATGACTCGGCAGCAGTTCTGAGACAAGAACAAGGGAGTTCTGGCTTTCACCCTTCTTTCTCTGCGGTGCGGGCATACCCTCCATGCTACAGGCACAACCTGGACAGCTCATTTCTCAGCCAGGACCACTCTCCCCGACTCCCCGCCCCCTCCTCCATCCATCGCTGCTGCAGAGTAAAAATCAGGCACCCTTCTGGAGGCAGCACCCATGTTTCAAGGCCAGCCGGGCACAGGGAGCAGCCTGTCCCTCCCCGAACTGACCTTCTGAAATGCCCTTTTCCCCTGTGCAGGGAGGGGGCTGGCAGAGCAGGCCAGCAGGCGCGGGGTTAGGCCTTGATAACCCGAGATCAAAGCGGCCTGTCAGAGGTGTCAACTGAGAGGCAGCCAAGACAAGCGACACCGCTTTATCTCCCCGCTGGCTGGCGGGGAAGCACCACGGTTCCCGGAAACTATTTCTGGACAGGCAGGAGAGAGAGCCTGTGGCTGAGGCCTGCTGTTCTGCCAAGCCACTCCAAATGGACTTAGGGACTCTGGGCGCCGTATGAGGGTCTGGTTCTTTCTGCTCGCTCTCTCCTCCTTCATCCTTAAGTTCCTATTTTCACAGGCACCTGTGTAATTCACACTAAAATTCTGTCTTCTCGAGGGGCCAGCAAGATGGTTTCATGGGCAAAGGGGCTTGGTCTGTGTTGGATCTCCTGAACCCAAGTTGGTTACAAGCCGGGCGATGGTGACGCACGCCTTTAATCCCAGCACTCGGGAGGCAGAGGCAGGTGGATCTCTGTGAGTTCGAGACCAGCTTGGTCTACAGAGCTAGTTCCAGGACAGGCTCCAAAGCCACAGAGAAACCCTGTCTCGAAAAACCAAAAAAAAAAAAAAAAAAAAAAAAAGAATGGTGGCCTGCTCCTTTAACCTCAGCATCCAGGAGGCAGAGGCAGGGGGATCTCTGTGAACCTGAGGCCAGCCTGATCTAAATAGGAAGCTCCAAATTAGGCATGATAAAGAGACACTGCCTCAAAACAAACAAACAGTCTGTTCGAGCTCCCTCAACTTTGGAACATTTTTTAACAGTCCACGTAGCTCAGGCTGACCTCAAACTTGCTGTGTAGCCCAGGCTGCCCTTGAGCTTTTTCCTTGTCTACCTGCTGACTCTTCTCTGCTGGTAGAACTGCAGGATTCACTACAGGGTTCAGACTTTTCAATCCCTCCCTTTGCTTTTTCCTTTCCTGTAGGACAAGGATCGCACCTGGACCCCAGGCACCGCAAGCTAGTTACTCGGCCGCTGGGATACATTCGCTGCGAGGAAATGTGCACTTCTATGACCCTGCTGTGTGCGCTCAGCTACTTAGTGCATCCGTGGGAGCCTAGAACTATTTGCTGCACAGTGTCTGGCAGGTAATGAATACCCAATGCACGGGAAATATTTTTCTCGTTCTTAACCTCCACTGTGGCGCTGTGAGATGGGTATACCTTCTCTTTCCAATGAGGAAAAACAAGGGATGCTCTGCTTCCCATTCTGCCAATCCACTGACAAGCAAGGCTGGCTAAGAAAAAAAAAAGAAAAAGAAAAACGGGTAGTATCCTGTGTCTTTTTCCACAGAATAATGCAAAAATCTGGTTTCACAAACATGGGTATTTTTCAGACCCAATTAAATCAAGATTCTAAGCATTAGATATGAGAGTCAGATGGACCCCTGAGGCCCAGATACTCACCTAGGGTCTGGATGAAAAGCCACTTACAGGATAGATAGATAGATAGATAGATAGATAGATAGATAGATAGATAGATAGAATAAATAGATTAGGTAGGTAATAGATAGATGATAGATAGATAGATAGATAGATAGATAGATAGATAGATAGATAAGATGGGTGATAGGTAGATAGGATTGATGGTGATAGCTAGACAGTAGATAAAAAAAATAGACAGCCAGATAGATATCTCCCCCCTAATTATGGGGACCAGGATCGGCATCTGAAGGGGAAGTTGAGGTGACACAGGGCAAATGAGGAAGAAAGATGCTGGTGCCCATGGCATTGGTCTTCCTGGAGCATGCTGATGTCACTGTGCAATTGAGTGTGTCTGGGTCCTGCACACCTGCCTTTGAAGCCAGACTCTACTTTTTGCTAGAATTGGGGGGGAAGAGGTGTGTTGCTAGAGACAGGACAACCGCAGTTTTTGTTCACGCCCAACAGGAACCTTAGGACTGAGCCACACCCCCAGCCCTCTCCTTTATTCATTTTTCTTCATCATTTACTTTGCTTTTACTTTTCTTGTATCAATTAAATAAACACATCCAGGCAAAGTCTAACGTTTATAAAGTAGAGGAGACAAAGATCTGTGAACTTTATCCCTGAAACTGAGTGGCCAGAAGCCAAGGTCACCAAAAAATACACAAAAGACTTGAAGAGGAAAAAGGCAATCACTTTCTCATTTTGTCATTTTCTCAGTCCTATCAAGGTGTCTCTTTGGACTCTGCACATCAAAACCCATGCCAGGGGTCCATGAGACGGCTTAGGGGATGAAAGAGCTTGCCACTAAGACTGATGGCCTGAGTTCGAGCCCCGACACCTCTGTGGTGAAAGGAGAGACCTGACTCACACAGATTGACCTGTGATGCTCATGTGTGCGGTGCCACATCCAAACCCCCAAACGTGCTTGTGCAGAAACACACAAATCAATAGATCTGAGCTCCACCAGACAAATGGATGGAGGTGTGAGTGACCCAGCCAATGTCTCCAGGACAGATCTAAGACTAAAGAGATGAGTTCTGAGTAGAAATCTGAAGGCTTCCCGGAGCCTTGTGGCTCAACTAGGCTCCAGGAGGACCTCTAAGGGACGGAATGTACAAGGGCATGCGTGCGTGTGTATGTGCGTGGGTGCGTGCATGCGTGGGTGCGTGCATACGTGTAGCTCACAGATTCTAGGATGGCTATTCAGGGAGCCCAAGGGAAGGAATCCTTCCCACCACGGAATTTCGAGGCATGTGTCAGCAGGAGAGCTGATGTGACTTCAAGGGTAACCTAAACTACATAGTGAAGGTCAGGATGCTGTCTCAAAAAGCCAAAATACAGGGCTCAGGCATGACAGTACGTGCCTCTAGTTCTAGCACTGGAGACTGAGGCAGGAGATCCACCACAAGTCTGAGGGAAAGGTTAGCCTGTGCGATACAGCAAATTCCAAGCTAGTCAGTACTACATAACAAAATCCTATCTTAACATAACAAAATCCTATCTTAAAAAGAATAATTAGATGGATAGATAGATAGATAGATAGATAGATAGATAGATAGATAGATAAAAACATTCAGGCTGTAGGGGTGAAATGACGGGAACAAGAATGGAAACCACAGATAGGAAATTCTTCTGAAAACCCAGTTAAGTCAAGCGATGTCCTGAGGGGCTGGAAATGTGGCTCAGTTGATAGAATGCTTGCCTAGCCATGCACGAAGCCCTGATTCCATCCCAGAATGGAACCCAGACAACTGGAAGGTGGAGGCAAAGTTTGAGTCTCTGGCACATTCAAGACCAACCTAGGCTGCCTGAGACATTGCCTAAAGAGAAAAAGAGGTAGCCTGAGCCAGGCACTGAGGAGAGAATGGAGTAGGATTAACAGACACTGGTGTTGGACACACACAACCTGCAAAGGAATGGAGACTGGGCCCCTAGACTCCACCCCAGGGCCGAGACCAAACTCTGCCTCTCCCCAGTTTTAGCACACGGCCCACACACATCTTTCTACCATTGAACTGCCCTCAGAGGCCTCTTTCAACTCAGCTACTGTCCCCCAGCTCATCAAACTCTAGCAGAGAGCAGTTCCCTAACCCTAGGCCAGAGGGTTCACAGGTTAAAACTCAAAGCAAGGTGGGAGTGGTGGCACAAACCTAGAATTCCAACTCTCGGGAGGCTGAGGCAGGAGGATTGCTGTGTGTTCAAGGCAAGCCTGAGCTACACAGTAAGTAATTCTGATTCTTTCAGAGCTGCATCTAGAAACTAAAGACTCTACCTCAAAAACTAAAAATTAAAAAGATTGTGTAATGATTCCTGACTGTAACCCCAGTGCTTGAGAGGTGGAGGCGAGGCAGGAGGATCAGGAGTTGAAGGTCAGCAGCAGCTACTTGGCTATTTGGATGGAGTCCAGCCTGGGCTATAAAGTGAAAGCCCAGTTTTTGCAGAGCACACTTGATGGTAGCAACAGCGCTCGGCTGAAGACAATCAAGCCATAAACTGAACAATCTTGATCTAGACTGTGTTCAAAACCAATCGTTGCTACGATTAGAAATTATCATCACACCACCCGACAGTGGTCCTCCTGGGGTCACAAGCTACTGAGCAATGCTAATCTCTGATCTGGAGTTTCAAATGGACAGCCACTCCTAGGAGAGGTCCTGTCACGCCCTCTGGGACACCTTTGCAGACAGAGCAGGGTTCCAAGGTGCCTCTTTGCCAATTTGAAGCAGCAGAGATTGGAGCGAAATGTGAAGTATGCAGACACTAGGAAATGAACGGCTTAACAATCGTGTTTTTTCCTGAAGCGTGTGTCAATTTATCTCCAGGGGAAGGGAGTTTTCTAAGTTCTAAAGATGGAGATAGTGCACACAAAGCCCTTAAAGCTGAAACCAAAGCACCCCACCTCGTCTTTATCTCTTTCTGGAACAATCAAAACTGCGCGAGTCTACCCGGTTTATTATCGCAACCAAACGGAAGGCAGGGCCAGGGGTGTGACTCGGTGCTTGCCTGGCTTGCATGCAAATCTCGGGTTCTATTGCTTTGTGTCTTATCCATAAAGAACTAGTACATGACTGTAATAAAGCAAAGAAAGCATAGATACAAGTTTTATCTTGGATAAAGTAAAAGCACGGGGCTACAAGGGAGTTCATTTCCGCCCAGGTTTCAGAAGAGGCAAAGCTAACAGACAGGATGGACAGACAGACTGCTGCGGTTGCTTAGTATCAGGAGGAAGGGAGGCGAGAATGTTATCTCCCCTGATAAGGGCTCTAGCTGCAGTGCTCTGTGCATTTGTCAATATTTAGAGAAGGGTGCCCTTAAACTTAAAGCGGTCCCCTGTGTGTAAATTTTCTCTCAAAAACAAGCAGACCTTGAACTCTAGCTAAGGATGTGCATAGCTGAGGTGCTGGGGAATGAGGAAGCTGATGCTCGGAACCAGACAGAAAGGCAAGAAACTCTCAGGTGGACTGACAGATACGCGGGTAATTAACGCCACACACAACCAGCAAAGACTGTGAGGACTCTACTCTGTGGGCAAATGGGTAGCCACAGCCCAGTTTGTTTGTTTTTTATTATTGTAACATTTATTTATTGATTAGGGAGGCAGCGTGTGCCACTGGCACACATGGGGAGATCAGAGGGCAACCTGCTGGAATTGGCCCTCTCCTTCCTCCCTGTGGATCCTAGGGATCAAAGTCAGGGCATCAGGCTTGGGCACAAGCACCTTTTACCCACTGAGCCACCTGGTTGTACGTACATCACACATATACACACACACATATATATGTATACACATACATGTATATACATACGTGTGTATATACACATATATACATATATACTCATATATTTTAAATCATTAACTTTGTTTCTTGACAATTTATCCAGGCATATAATGTATAATTATATCCATGTATATAATTCTAGATTCTGGCCACAGTCACCATCACACCTTTTTGACACCCTTTCAAACCCTTCCCCCACACTTATGCTTTGTTGTTTTGTGTGTGTGGCCACAGGTTTGGCACTGTTCCCTGGAGGCTGGGAGAGTTCACCTGTGGGTCCTCAGAGGAAGACTATGACTTATCCATCAGTCACCTACAATCTTGCAGGCAGGCAAGGCCCCATGCATGGCTCCCTGACCTACGACTGACAAGTAACAGGCCCAGTCTTTCACCGAGGCAACACTTTTTCAATTTTTTATCAAGATTTATCTATTTTTATTTTATGTGTGTAAGCATTTTGTCTGTGAGTGTACATTTGTGCACCACACGTGTGCCTGGGGCTCCCAGGCCAGAAGAGACCATCAGATCCCTTGGAACTAGAGTTACAGATGGTTGTGAGCTGCCATTTAAGTGATGGCTATCAAACCTGTGTCCCCAGCAAGAGCACAAAGTGCTAGCCGGGCATGTTAGGATTAAAGGAGTGTACCACCACTGCCAGGCTCCCCTTCAGGTTTTTTAAATTTGCTTGAATTTGAGGGTGGAAAGGGGGGGTCATTGCTGAGGTGGTTTGGCTTGTTTGGGATTTTCTAAGGGCGTTGGGGGGGTGCAGTTAAAGAGATCTTGTCAGCTTCCCTGGGCTGACCTCAAACCCATGCTACTCCTGCCTCTGGCTCCCAAGTAGATGAGCTTACAGAGTTTCATAAAGCGATCTTCAGATGAGTAGATCAGGCATGGCGGTGCACACCTCTAAATCACGGTGCCTGGGAGGCAGAGGCAGGAGGATCTCTGTAAGTTTGAGGTGATCCTGGTCTGCAGAGTAAGTTTCAGAACAGTCAGAGTTACACAGAAAAAACCTATCTCAAAATAATTGTTTAATTAAAATAATAAAAATAAAAACATTTTCTCGCCGGGCGATGGTGGCGCAAGCCTTTAATCCCAGCACTCGGGAGGCAGAGGCAGGCGGATCTCTGTGAGTTCTAGGCCAGCCTGGTCTACAGAGCTAGTTCCAGGACAGGCTCCAAAGCCACAGAGAAACCCTGTCTCAAAAAAAAACAAACAAACAAAAAAAATTTTCTCAGCTGGGCAGTGGTAAGGCACTCTTTTAATCCTACCACTCAGGAGGCAGAGGAAGGCAGAACTCTGTGACTTCAAAGCCAACCTGGTCTTCAGAGCCAGTTCCAGGACAGTCAGAGCTAATCAAATAAACCCTGTCTGGAAAAAACAAACAAACAAACAAACAAAAAACACTTTTCCTATTATTTTGCCACCTTTGTTTCTCGGTTTTTTTTGGGGGGCGGGGCTTTGGAAGGTTGTCTGTTGGATTTTTTGTTTTGTTTGTATTTTGAGTGTGGGGTGTTTGTTGTTGTTTGTTTTTGTTTGGTTTGCTTTGTAAGGTCTCCTGCAAGCTAAGCAAAGGCTCACTGCCCTAGGCTCCTTTCCCAGTCCTCTTCCAGGACCTCAGGCTAGCCTGAGACCATCCTCACAGACACACCCACATATTCTTTATTCTGAGAAGGTGTTATGGCAAAACAGCGCAGGTCCCGGAGTGGCAACAGTGGACAGCTGGCCACGAAGGCCAGTCCCAGGCAGAGACTGGTGTCGTGTGGTGTACGTGTCTCAGTGTGTGTAGTGTGTCGTGCGGTGTGTCTGGAAACTGGAGATTACAACTTCTAGGAGTCCTTGAAGATCCCAAGAGAGAGACTCCCACCCACCCAGAGCTCCTAGCATCTGGGGCTTGTTTTAATTTTTGTTTGTTTTGGTTTGACCATTACATAGAGTTTCTCTGCCTAACCCAGACTCACTTCAAACTGAGAATCCTTAGGCCTCAGACTCTCTGGCACTGGAATTGCAGGCACGTGCCACCACACCCTACTGTACTTCAGGCTATTTACGTCGTGTGTAGGGCCTGAAGGTGGCAAGAAACACATTCTCACCCTGCTGGGAGATTCAGTTCTCTGCCCTGTGGCAAACTGAGAAGATCCTGGAATTTGGTGGAAAAAAAAAGGGCCGGGGCTGGGGGTGGGAGGGGCGGGGGGGGGAGGATTGGATTTTCCTGGCCTTGACTCTTGCTTTCGGAGAAATCACTTTACCTTTTTAAATTGTCTGGTTTTGGGCTGGAGAGATGTCTCAGTGGTTAAGAGCACTGGCTACTCTTCCAAAGGTCCTGAGTTCAATTCCCAGCAACCACATGGTGGCTCACAACCATCTGTAATGAGATCTGGTGCCCTCTTCTGGTGTGCAGGCATACATGCAGGAAGAACACTGTATAGGTAATAAGTAAATAAACCTTTTTAAAATATATAATAAAACAAACAAATAAATAAACAAACAAACAAATAAATAAATTGCCTGGTTTTTTATACCTCTTTCAGTTACCAAGTAGCCGTGGATATTCTGGGAGAGTTCAGTGGGCTAGTCTTCACACACGTAGCCCTCCTCGGCCCTGCTGTTTCTTTTCAAGATGGAGACACACTGGAATGCCCAGACTGTAGACTTCCAGGCTCAAGAAATCATCCTGCCAGCTGGCCTTGGTGAGTTCCCGATAGAACATCCCCATTGTCTCAGTGTGTGGGTGCACCCCTCGCGGTCCTAAGTTCCTTGCTCGTGGTCTCTCTCCTTCTGCTCCTGATTTGGACCTGAGATTTCTGTCGGTGCTCCAACGTGGGTCTCTGTCTCCTTTCATCGAGGTGGGTGGTCCTTGGACTTCCCACAGGGCAGGGAAACTTGATTGCTCTTTGGGCTAACGAGGGAGGGGGACTTGATTGGGGGAGGGGGAGGGAAATAGGAGGCGGTGGCGGGGAAGAGTCAGAAATCTTTAATAAATAAATAAAAATTAAAAAAAAAAAAGAAATCATCCTGCCTCAGCCTCCCTAGTAAGTGTTTTTACAGAGGTGTGCCACCACCACGCCTGGCTCAGTAAACGGGCCTTCAAGAGATCCAAAGCACTTCAGTTGGTATGTATATTAGGTATGTACTAGGTGCTAAAACATTCTTGGGGGGGGCAGGTGGGAGGGGGAGCATCCATCCCAAGAGTGCTCCAGCTGCTCACTCTCCAGTTTGGACCTGTCACAAAGTGTCTCTCTTTAACAAATTTATTTGAGGCAGTGTCTCACTATGTAGCTCTGTAGACCAGGGTGTCCTGGAACTCACTACGTAGGCCACCCTCGCCTGGGACTCACAGAGATCCACCTGCCTCCGCCTCCCAAGTGCTGGGATTCTGTGGTGCTAGGAATCAAACGGGGACTTTGTGTAGGAATCAAACAGGGGACTCTGTGTCTGCTTCTCTTCACTTTGTGACAGGTCCAAACTGGAGAGTGAGCAGCTGGAGCACCCTGGGGATGGGTGCTCCCCTCCCCGTGGGATGCGGGGATTCACTTTAAAATGCAGGCATCCTGGCTCCACAGCACTGCTCCTCTGCTAGGCAAGGAGCCTCTGTCCTTGCAGTTGTACAAGCTGGTGCAAAGGATGAGGCAGCCTCCCAGTGGGTTTTTTTTTTCTTTCTCCCCACGCCGTGTTTATCCACCCATGCAAGTATTTTAAGCACTGTTTCTATTCTGCTATTCTGAGCCCATTACTCTGCAGGGTGATTAAAATTTCTCTTGGCCAGAGAAGAGAAGACAATATGTTTGTTGCCTCCTTCCAGAGCTGTTGCTTTTCCCAAGCAGCCTTCAAAGGAGAAGATGTAAACACAAAATCCACACTCGCCGCCCAGCGGGAGTCTGGAGAGTACTGCGCCCCTCACCTTGGCCTGCACTCCAAGCAGCTGGGCAGGATGGGGGGGGGAGGCAAGATGCTGGATGCTCCCTAGTTCCCTGCCTCTTCCTCCTTGCCTGTGTGTGCTAATCCTCTCCGTCCCCATCCATCCACGGGCATGACAACCTGTGGTTTCTGCTGGTTTGACTCCTACTCGGGATTGTTTTTGAGACAGGGTCTCACTCCATAGACTAGGCTGGCCTCGAACTCACAGTGACCCACCTGTCTCTGGCTCTCAAGAGCTGAGATTAAAGGTCAGAGGAGGGAAGAGCTTCCTTCCTTCTATGTGAGAGTCTGGAAGACAGGTGAACTAGGGGAAACACGACTAACTGTGGGAGGGGAGGGGAGAAGGCAGCTGGCAGCAGGAGGACACAGACTGAGCAAGACCAGCTGTGGTTGTAAACAGGACCAGAGAGGTCAGGAGCCCCAGGGAGAACCACACAGCAGATAGCAGACCCAAAAGAGAATCCTGGAGCTGTAGTGTGTAATCCCACACCAAGGATACTGAGACTTCCAGGCCAGCCTGGGCTACATAGCAAGACTGTATTGGGGGAAAAAGAAAAGAAAAAAAAATCTAGGTAACTAACCAACCAACCCAATAAATGAAATCACTTAAATGAGTGTGGACAGAGGGAACAAAATGGAAAAGTCCAGCTTTGATTTCTTATCTTTACAGCCCACGGCCAGAGGGCAAGAGGTTTAACCTCCTAGGTGTTCTGTCCTTATCGGCCAAATGGGAACTTGGTCCCACCCCCTGGGCCTGGGGGGAGGGGGGGGAGACTCTGCTGAGTACCCAGCTTCCTCCTTCCTTCCTCCTGATTGATTCCCTTTGATGAAATCTATTTCACTTTCCCAGTTCACTTAGCAAGCAGCCTCCTCTTTTTTTCTCTCCTTTCTCTTTTTCAGAGGAGAAACCCAAGCCCTCCTTCCTGGTCCCCCAGACAGGAGCTGGAAGCCCTGTCGGGTGACTGAGGCAGCTGAGCAGACCCAGTGCCCCCAGCGACTCCCTGACTGTTTTGATGAACACCTAGACTCCAGACTCTCCTTATCGCCCATTCTTGGCTACTTCTAGCCCTGGAGGTTTCTCTGATCCCTCCTCCACCTCTCAAGCTGGCTGGAGTGTTTTGAAGCCAGCAGCTGATCATTCCCTCTAAGATCCTGGGGACATTAGCATCCCTCTGGCCTATCTCCCAGACACACAGCCGAGGAGATTAAAGAAAGGGGGCGTGTGAGGCTCACAAGCCAAAGATTCCTGTGTCCCGCCCTGGGCCCTGGAGGAAAGCCTATTGTTCTAGAGATAAAGTTACTACTGGAGAAGGCTTCTTGAGGAACTTTCTCCTAGGAATCAAGGACTTCTTGGAGTCGACAGCACCTGCAAGTCCAGACTCGTCCCAGGGGCTTAAACAGCCTTAGAGCCCTTTCTGCAGCCAACTGAGCACTGAGATAACTCCCCTAGGGGCTTTGGCTCCCAGATCTGCCCCATGCTGGCGCCATGATGGTTTCTTTCTGCTTCACTCACCTTGAAAGCAAGCAAGACTCTGTGGGTAGGTATGTGCATGTCACCTTGCACATGTGGAGGTCAAAGGGCAACTAGAGGAAGTTGGTTCTCGCCTCCCACCTTGTGGGTACCAGGATAGTAAACTTAAGTCATCAGTCTTGGCAGCAGGGCACCCGACCATCTTGCCACCCCCTCCCTATTTTTGTTCTGATTTGAGACAAGGTCTTACGTAGCCCAAGCTGACCTGGAATCTGATACACAGGCAAGGATAGGAACAACCATGAACTGAGAGTTCCCATTTATGTTCTGGAGGCTACTGAGACTGGGCAGCCTCTGCTGCGTCTTCTGCGGAGGATCCATTAACAAAAATCTTCTGCCCGGTTTTTAATTGGGTCATTTGTATTCTGCTGACTGACTTCAAAGACTGCTGTAATATTCTAGACCCACGTTCCCGGTCAGACAAATGATTTACAAATCACACACGCACAGCGCGCACATGTACCATTTCCTGATTTTTTTTTCCTTTTTCTTAACAGAGTCAGAGAAGATGATGTTTAAATCTTTATCTTCTAAGTCATTTAATTTTGTTTCTTGGTATATGATTTTTGTGTCCTAACCTAGCCTAAGCTCACAAAGACAGTTTACGTTGTTTTCTGCTCAGGTTTAGCATGTGATTGCTGTTATGTTTAGCCATAGCTCAAGTGGTTCTGGTTGGATTTACAAATCAGACAGACATTGACATCTGTACAGCTCATTAGCTATAATCTTACATATTTATCCCAAAAGAGAATTATCTCCACGGGAGAAAAACATTGCCTTTGCAACCACAGCACTGGAAGAGGCTGAAGCAGGGGGATTGCCTAGAACTTGAGGTCAGCTTCAATCATATGTGAGTTCCAAGCCAGCAATTGCCTACAGAGTCACTCTGTCTTAACACTAACCAAACAATGACCCTTATGCCTCACATGCAGGCTGGATTTGGTCCCCAACACCCCAAAACCTGATGGTGGAGCATGCCTGTAATCTAAGCATTTGAGAAGCTGAGGCAGGGGGATCAGAAGTTCAAGGTACGAGCTTTTCACCTCAGCCCCAGAGAAGTGAAGGTGGGAAGATAACCTTGAGTTCAAGACTAACCTGGGATCTTTAGTTCAAAAAGAAGAAAACACATGTTTAGGGAAAATGAGTCGTCCCCCCCCCCCCAAGGATGAGAACAGAGAGAACTACTGAACTCATGGAAGTGAGGGACCATGGTGGCCCCGTCAAATGGTAGGAAGCGGAAGAGTGACAGGTGACATTTATTTGTTCTTGAGGTTGTTATAATGTTCGTAATGCTGTTCCTGCCACCATGCCCCTGCTCAGCCAGGGCCAGGCTCTGCTATCCAGATGACTCTGTGGAGCAGCCCAGCCATCCTCAAAGGTCAAACAAGGGAACAAAGGCTTCATCTTCCGCTGTACAGCCCTGAGAACTGACACATTCTCTCAGGAAATCAGGTTGCACGCCACCGAGGTGACAATGGAAATCACTCTTGATGTTGGCCCCAGCTCCCAGGAATCCATTTACCCCCCAAAACCCTTCCCCCTCCCCACAAACCTCCTCCTGCCTCAGCCTTCCCATGCTGAGATCACATAGGCCTAAAGCCGCAGGGCTTGGCAAACTGCTTCTCTGGGGAGGCACCTCGATACTGGGGTTTTCTGGCCACCTTTTAGAGTTCCCTCAGCTTTGTCAGTGTGTGACTGTGATCCCCACCTCCGTGTTCCTGGGGTCTCCTGCATGTCTCTGTGCGTCTTCTCATTTGTTAGATTATTTGTTCACTATTTACTTACTACTTAACCTCACACACACATGCACACACAGGACAGGCTTTCTCTCTGCAGCTCTAACTGTCCGGGAACTATATTTGTAGAGGGTAACCTCGAACTCAGAGATCTGCCTACCTCTGCCTCCCAAGTGCTGGGATTAAAGGCTTGCGCCACCACCCCTGGCTGTATTATTTATTTTGAGAGAGAGAACACATTATCACTATGGTTTGCGTATGGTGGTCAGAAAGCAAATTGGGGGAGTCAGTTCTCTCCTCCCACCACGTGAGTCCCAAGGACCAAACTCAGGCTTGGTGACAAGCTCTTTTACCTGCTGAATCATCTTGCTTACCCTCCTCTTCTTATAAAGGAACTAGTCACTACATTTGAGCTCATGCAAAGGCACTGACTTCCTCTTCACCCAACAATATCTACCAAGTTCCTATTTCCAACTAAGGTCATTCTCAGAGTTCACGTTCCAACACACACACACACACACACACACACACACACACACACACATTCTACCCAGTACAGACTTTATTTTTCTCTGACATGAAATAATGCAGTTCAAAGTGGGCTAAAGTACCTGAGGATGAGGTGGGGAGGAAACACCACTGGCCTAGGAACTATGAAGATCGAAGTTCAAATTTTGGTTCTGTTGCTGACTTGCTGTGTGTTGTTGTTCAATTCACTTCACAACTCCATGTTTTAGCATCCGTTAAATGGATCGTTCTTGTCTTTTTCTTTAATTTAGACAGGATAGCCTTGTACTCTTCCTGCCTTGACCTCCCAAACCCTGGGATTATAGATGTGAAATTTATGTAGCACTGGGGATCAAACTCACGTGCTTGGAATCGGTACACGCTGAACAGGCAGCCTACCCTGTACTGGCTGAGATACATTCCTAACCCTGCTATGAGATTGCTTCCTTTAGCTCAGGCTAGCCTCACACTTGCCTCAACACTAGTCTTGAAACTCCAATTCTCCTCCCTCCGCTTCCTAGGTACTGGGGCCCACAGGCGTGCCCTACCACACCTGGCTTTCAAAATCACCATTTCTGCTGATAACTAAGCTGCCTTGCATAAAATTCCCCATTGACTTTCATTATTCTTCCCCAAACGTATCAGATTTCACGAGGCAATCTGTCCGGTCCAAACCCAGACAAATTCCATTCCCCTGGTGTCTGATCCTCTCCCCAGGTAATATCTATTCATGCTTTAGGATCTAGCTTAGTTGTTACTTCCTTCAGGAAGTTCACCTTTACCATTCTTCCTTTGTAGGTCAGTTCTCCCCGTACTTTAAGGCTAAGCCTGTCATCACAGACTAGAGCACAGGGCAAGCCTGTTGTCTGTCCCCTCCAAATGTCAGGGACTTGCACAGGGTTTCGTGTATGCATACGTCAACTACACAACCACACATCCAAGAAGGAAATCCAGAATCAGAATCCCATTCAAGAATGGGACCTGGGAAGCCTACACATTCTTCCCCAAATCTTCGACAGACATCACTAATGGATCACCGACACTCCCAGTTGTTCTTCAGCACCGGGTTCTGGTGGGTCTAAGAATTGATCCAAGCCTCTCCAGACAAGAGTTGTGTTTTCTGGTGTAACCTGTCAAGCATCCCTGTTTTGAAAGCCAGGAAAACAAACTTTAGAAATGCCGCATGCGAGTCCTCCTGCCAGCTAGGACAGTGTTCAGTTCTGCAGCCCAGCCCCTCACGCTGTGTGTCTGACCTATGCCCAGGATGTCTAAGGAATGGAATCCTTGCAACACAAGGCCAGGTGATTCTTGGGAGGCCCAAATCACGAAGTCTATGATGCTGAGCTGAGCTCAGGGTCTCCCAAACACTTCCTTTCTTTTCTTGTTTCCTTTTTTTTTTTTCCTCCTCACTCCCTTTCCTATAATCCAGGCTACGCCTCAAACTAAGTAGCCAAAAATAGCCTTGATCTCCTGCCCCTCTTTGCCTGGTCTCAAATGCTGGAATCACGGGTGAGTGTCACCAACCACTCCTAACTAATACTTCTTTTCTAAATTGCCCAGAGTCAACCTTGGATCTCTCTTGCCAGAGCTTCCTGTCACTTCCAGGGACAACCAGCTCACAGTTCTCAACCCAAGAGGTGAGAGCCGGAAACTCACCTTTCCTGTTTGACAAATGAATGTTTTATCTGAAAATAACTTCCTTCTCCTTTTTATTTGTTTTTTTTTTTTTTTTTTTTTTTTTTTTGTTGTTGTTGTTGTTTGAGACAGGGTTTCTCTGTGGCTTTGGAGCCTGTCCTGGCACTAGCTCTTGTAGACCAGGCTGGTCTCAAACTCACAGAGATCCACCTGCCTCTGCCTCCCAAGTGCTGGGATTAAAGGTGTGCGCCACCACCGCCCGGCCCTTCTTCTTTTTAGTTGTTGGCTTTTTAGTTGTTGACTGACCTGGAACTCCTACTGTAGACCAAGCTGACCTTGAATTTGTAGCAATTCTCCTGTCTTTTGCCTCCTGGCAAGAGCCACCACACCCAACTTACTGCCCCCCACCCCCCACCTTTAGACAGGGTCTCACTGTGCAGCCCTGGCTGTCTTGGAACTCACTTTGTAGACCAGACTGACTCCTCTGCCTCCCAAGGAATGGGATTAAAGATGTGCACTACCATGCCTGTCCTAAAAGGAAAAAGTTTTTAAGAGATGATTTATATTACCCAGGCTGATCCAGACCCCCTGAGTCAAACAATCTTCTTTTTTTTTTTTTTTTTTTTTGTCTATTTGCTTGCTTGCTTGTTTTTTGAGACGGTTTTTTTGTGTAACAGCTCTGACTGTCCTGGAACTCTCTTTGCAGACAAGGCTGACCTGGAACTCACAGAGATCCTCCTGCCTCTCTCTGCCTACCGAGTGCTGGGATTAAAGGTGTTCACCAATATTTTTAATACAATCTTTTCCCTCTTGTACTAGGACTTGAACTCAGGACCTAATACATGCCAGACAAGTGTTCCCCAGGTCTAAAAATCAAAAGAAAATAAAAACAAACAAATAACAACAAAAACAGGTTCTCACCAAATATTTCATGTTGTCCGTGACCTCTGCATTTTCCCACCTTACCTTCCACAGTAACTTTTTACATAAAAACAGCACAATCAGCACAGAAAGGCCTTGAGCTTCTGTGCCCAGGGTCTTCCTAACATCAGACAAGTCACTAAGAAGCCAGTCAGGGCTTGGTGGCTCACATCTGTAATCGGAACAAGTCCAGAGGCTAAAGCAGAAAGATTGCTAAAAATCCAGTCAGCCTGAGCAACAGTGAGATCCAAAGCCAGCATCCTGCCCACATGGTATGCCCTAAACCTCAGCAGAGACAGTGAGATCCCCGGGAGTGGGGGTCATCCTGGTCTGTGTAGAAAACAGTGTCAGGGGAAAAAAGAAACCAAACCCCAACATTGTCACACCCTTTCCTTCGCCAAAGCCCCAGAATTTATGCGCACGTGCGTCACCATCTCTCTGTTTGCAGGCCCAGCCTGGCATGGAACTCTTGTCCTTTCTGTGACCACTCTGGGGGAGGGGTTCTCCCTCTCTGGCTACCCCTGGTCCCTGCTCAGCCAGGATCCACCCCTCTGCTTCCTCTTTAAAGATTGTGATTTCGGGAGAGAGGGGGCCTCACTTAGCTATTTCT